GGGGGGGTTAGCCCAAGCAAACAAGAGTGATTGGTATTAGTTACAATTAATACTTATTTCATGAGTTTTGTAAAATAAATAAAGTTTACAGTACGGTTTATCGACGTCTGCGCGTTATAACTTCAAATACAGATTTCGTTGACATACACATGACACATTTTGACTCATTTCGACTTTCATTCTATCAAAAGTCTGCCTGATTGAACTCTAGTCCCTGCTCAGATACAGCTAAGTATTGGCATATCAGCAAGCAAATTGGTACATACCCTATGTACGATTCGGCGTGTAGTCCTAAATGCCCCTGGTCTTCACTTTAAACGACAAGAGTTGATTAGGTTAGAGATTTTTTCGCCGAACGATAGTAGACCTGAAGGCATACAATTCCTTGCTTGGTGTCGAATCTTTTCATGCAATATAAAACCAACATATAATATACACATATTTTTTTTTATTTCAAAATACTCTACATATAATCATATCAACAATCGTTAATGTCGCGTGTCAGTTCTGGAAATTCGCAAACATTAATCAATAAGAAACTTTCCGATAATGACGTCGTTTCGGAAAAAAGGTACCGACTTTATAATCGTCAATGTTTTCCCGTCAACATTCTTCAATTTTTTCGGATTTTGACGAATGGTGAATCGATATTTTTTATTAGACTACACGTTATGACACACTACAGAAGACTCTCTCTCTCCTCCTCAACCTCCTCTTCCGTACTGTCGCCCGAACTGATTTCGTCGCTGTCATCTTCTTTGTCGTCGTCATCGCTCGTATCTGTAAAATACAAAAATCTTATTACTTAAATTTGATTCTGCCAAGAGATAAATATTACAAAGTATGATCAACATTTTAAAAACAATTAGCACTTCCCATAATGAAGCTTATTTGCTATCTATATTCTGGCCGGGTAACCTAGCTTGCATCCTCGATACTCTAGGGATTGCGCTCACTTTCGTTCTCTGCACCCCTTTGGTATGTCATAGCGAAATTGAAGGTTTCTGGTAAAAAAAAAAAAACCTGACTAATCGCTAAGGCTAATTAATACCTGTCATCATTTGAAGATTACAGAGAGGCGATACCCGACTTCAAAGTCAGTCAATTTTACCGTTACGCGACCGACAGATTTTTTGACGTACATTAAAGGATCAAAGTAGTCTTCTTGTCTCATCCACGAGGTGGCGCACACTGAGTCTTCGATTTTGCAATAACAAATTACAGGGGTGCAGAGAGCGAAAGTGAGCGTACATGGCTGGTCCCCGGGGTTGCCATGACCCATCCTCGATACTCCAGGGGTTACGCTCACTTACGCTCTCTACACCCCTGAGATATGTCATAGCAAAATTAAAGGCTCAGTGTGCGCCACCTTGTTGATGAGACTAGAAGACTAGTTCGATCCTTTGATATAATCTTCAAAGGACAGATATCAGCCTAGCGATTGGTCAAACAGCTATTGTCGTGCCTTCAATTTTGCAATGACATATTCCAGGGGTGCAGAGAGCGAAAGTGAGCGTAACCACTGGAGTATCGATCTCTTTTGTGTAGCGGCATTGTTCATAATAAACACAATTTTCAATCTATGTTTAGTTTGAAATCAACCGATACTCCTCTTAATTTTGACATTCAAAAGTCCATGACCGTCAGATTAAGGCATTAAACAGGATAAACAAAAGGGACATTCTAGCTGATGTATTGACAGCTATGGGCTACCAAACTTTATAAACAATGGATATATAACGAAACATACCAGAATCATAAGCGCATACTCTTTGACATTTGCGTAAATGATAGAGCTGCAAGGTCTGTGCACTGAATATGTCATTATATGGCAGTGTGACATTTGGGATATCGCACTATTCCGTGTTTATGTTTGTTTTGTTCTGTTTTATGGCTCATCGACAATTTTAGTCCAATTTTCGGGCCAAACAAACTGTACGAATAGACATTCCCAGAAAGGTAGACATCAGACTTAAAATAAAACAACTAAAGGCAAAATATGGAGAGAAAAAAAATCACAGCAAACAAACTGTCCATATACTATATTATATTATATCGTTATGATTAATTTAATGTATCATAAAAAGTATGTACATAATGTAAATGTGTGAAGCATTTGTTTTAATCGCTGCAGTCAATCATAAAATGTTTGGCTGTAAATGACCATAACAACCTGGACGTTAATGCCGATCTTCATCCGTGGTCATATTATTGGACAAAACTTGCTGTTTGACGTTATGGTGCAGTAAATGTTACTTGGTTTGGCTTTCATCGTCGACGGATTATTTTTAAAAAGACACTTCCCAATTAGCAATTCTAGTAAATATTTGACTCTGGTGTCTATTATTATTTTGGTTTTAATTTTTAAAAATCAGAGTGAAAACTGTGATCCAGAAGTTAAATTACTACTTTTCAATTTTAGATAGGCGTGACATTTTCAGAGATGTTGATCTATTGTCATGAGCCAGAACTCGAGTGCAATGAATGTAAAAGACACATTCAATGATCGCAATAACAGTAAGATAAGGTACAGTACCAACGTTACACATACCGTTTACGTCAGAAATAAGAACAGGATTTGATATTATGATAGTATGATATCAAACAAACCAGCACGTGCTTGTTTGTTTATATTAATTTACACGTTCTCCAAACAGCTAATGTCATATGAAGAAAGACAGCACCGAAAAGAAAGAGCAGGAAAGTGAGACGAGAAAAGGACAGAGATCCCAATGCAAAGTGAGATGAGAAAGGACACAGATCCCAATGCAAAGTGAGATGAGAAAAGGACACAGATCCTAAATCAAAGTGAGACGAGAGAGGACCAGATCCTAAATTAAAGTGAGACGAGAAAGGACCAGATCTTAATTCAAAGTGAGACGAGAAAAGGACACAGATCCTAATGCAAAGTGAGATGAGAAAAGGACACAGATCCTAAATCAAGGTGAGACGAGAAAGGACACAGATCCTAAATCAAGGTGAGACGAGAGAGGACCAGATCCTAAATTAAAGTGAGACGAGAAAGGACGAGATCTTAATTCAAAGTGAGACGAGAAAAGGACACAGATCCTAATGCAAAGTGAGACGAGAAAGGACACAGATCCTAAATCAAGGTGAGACGAGAGAGGACCAGATCCTAAATCAAAGTGAGACGAGAAAGGACCAGATCTTAATTCAAAGTGAGACGAGAAAAGGACACAGATCCTAATGCAAAGTGAGATGAGAAAAGGACACAGATCCTAAATCAAGGTGAGACGAGAAAGGACACAGATCCTAAATCAAGGTGAGACGAGAGAGGACCAGATCCTAAATTAAAGTGAGACGAGAAAGGACGAGATCTTAATTCAAAGTGAGACGAGAAAATACCAGATCCTAAATCAAAGTGCGACGAGAAAAGGACACAGATCCTAAATCAAAGTGAGACGAGAAAGGACACAGAACCTAAATCAAAGTGAAACGAGTAAGGACCAGATCCTAAATCAACGTGAGACGAGAAAAGGACACAGATCCCAACGCAAAGTGAGATGAGAAAAGGACACATATCCTAAATCAAAGTGGGACGAGTAAAGGACACAGATTCTAAATCAAAGTGAGACGAGAAAAGACACAGAACCTAAATCAAAGTGAGACGAGAAAGGACCAGATCCTTAATCAAAGTGAGACGAGAAAAGGACACAGATCCTAATGTAAAGTGAGACGAGAAAAGACACAGATCCTAAATCAAAGTGAGACGAGAAAACGACACCGATCTTAATGCAAAGTGAGACGAGAAAAGGAACAGATCCTAAATCTAAGGGAAACGAGAAAAAACCAAATCTTAAATCAAAGTGAGACGAGAAAGGTCCAGATCCTAAATCAAAGTGAGACGAGAAAAGAAACAGATCCTAAATCAAAGTGAGACGAGAAAGGACCAGATCCTAAATCAACGTGAGACGAGATAGGACAAGATCCTCAATCAAAGTAAGACGAGAAAAGGACACAGGTCCTCAACCAAAATGAGACAAAAAAGGACCAGATCCTAAATCAAAGTGAGACGAGAAAGTACACAGATCCTAAATCAAAGTGAGAGGAGAAAGGACACAGATCCTTAATGAAAGTAAGACGAGAAAGGACCAGATTATAAATGAAAGTAAGACGAGAAAGGACCAGATCATAAATCAAAGTGAAACGAGAAAAGGACACAGATTCTAAATCAAAGTGAGACGAAAAAGGACCAGATCCTCAATCAAAGTGAGACGAGAAAGTACACTGATCCTAAATCAAAGTGAGACGAGAAAGGATACAGATCCTAAATCAAAGTGAGACGAAAAAGGACCAGATCCTCAATCAAAGTGAGACGAGAAAGTACACTGATCCTAAATCAAAGTGAGACGAGAAAAGACACAGATCCTAAATCAAAATGAGACAAGAAAGGACACAGATCCTAAATCAAAGTGCGAAAAAGGAAGGACACAGATCCCAACTCAAAGTGAGACGAGATAGGACACAAATCCCAACTCAAACTGAGACGAGAAAGGACACAGATCCTAAATCAAAATGAGACGAGAAAGGACAAGATCTTAATTCAAAGTGAGACGAGAAAGGACCAGATCCTAAATCAAAGCTAGACGAGATAGGACACAAATCCCAACTCAAAGTGAGACGAGAAAGGACCAGATCTCAACTCAAAATGAGACGAAAAAGGACCAGATCCTAAATCAAAGTGAGACGAGAAAGGACACAGATCCTAAATCAAAGTGAGACGAGAAAGGACAAGATCTTAATTCAAAGTGAGACGAGAAAGGACACAGATCCTAAATCAAAGCTAGACGAGATAGGACACAAATCCCAACTCAAAGTGAGACGAGAAAGGACACGGATCCTAAATCAAAATGAGACGAGAAAGGACACAGATCCTAAATCAAAGTGCGAAAAAGGAAGGACACAGATCCCAACTCAAAGCTAGACGAGATAGCACACAAATCCCAACTCAAAGTGAGACGAGAAAGGACCAGATCCCAACTCAAAGTGAGACGAGAAAGGACCAGATCCTAAATCAAAATGAGACGAGAAAGGACACAGATCCTAAATCAAAGCTAGACGAGATAGGACACAAATCCCAACACAAAGTGAGAGGAGAAAGGACCAGATCCCAACTCAAAGAGAGACGAGAAAGGACACAGATCCTAAATCAAAGTGAGACGAGAAAGGACAAGATCTTAATTCAAAGTGAGACGAGAAAGGACACAGATCCTAAATCAAAGTGAGACGAGAAAGGACAAGATCTTAATTCAAAGTGAGACGAGAAAGGACACAGATCCTAAACCAAAGTGCGAAAAAGGAAGGACACAGATCCCAACTCAAAGCTAGACGAGATAGGACACAAATCCCAACTCAAAGTGAGAGGAGAAAGGACCAGATCCCAACTCAAAGTGAGACGAGAAAGGACCTGATCCTAAATCAAAGTGAGACGAGAAAGTACCAGATCCCAACTCAAAGTGAGACGAGAAAGGTCCAGATCCCAACTCAAAGTGAGATGAGAAAGGACCAGATCCCAACTCAAAGTGAGACGAAAAAGGACACAAATTTCAAGTTTTGCAATCTTCTGTGTCATTTATTCAGAAGACAAAAGGGAAAACCTCCCGATTCTACAGGGGCAGCACATTGGTCGCCTCGTAAGACATACAGTGGGCAACAGCAGGTCTTTTCTTTTCCCGAACCAGCCTAGGGCCATCACCTGTTAATCGTAAACCAGATAATAGGATTCTGAAACAAGGCACTCTTGATTGAGCAATGTTGTG